CTGTATTACTGCTTCCTGTATTACTCTCTGATACCTGTATTACTCTCTGCTTCCTGTAGTACTCTCTGATACCTGTATTACTGCTTCCTGTATTACTCTCTGATACCTGTATTATTCTCTGATACCTGTATTACTCTCTGCTTCCTGTATTACTCTCTGCTTCCTGTATTACTCTCTGATACCTGCATTACTATCTGCTTCCTGTATTACTCTCTGCTTCCTGTAGTACCCTCTGATGCCTGTATTACCCTCTGATGCCTGTATTACTCTCTGATACCTGTATTACTGCTTCCTGTATTATTCTCTGATACCTGTATTACTCTCTGCTTCCTGTATTACTCTCTGATACCTGTATTGCTCTCTGCTTCCTGTATTACTCTCTGATACATGTATTACTCTCTGCTTCCTGTATTACTCTCTGATACCTGTATTACTCTCTGCTTCCTGTATTACTCTCTGATACCTGTATTACTCTCTGCTTCCTGTATTACTCTCTGATACCTGTATTACTCTCTGCTTCCTGTATTACTCTCTGATAACTGTATTGCTCTCTGCTTCCTGTAGTACTCTCTGATACCTGTATTACTCTCTGCTTCCTGTAGTACTCTCTGATACCTGTATTACTCTCTGCTTCCTGTAGTACTCTTTGATACCTGTATTACTGCTTCCTGTATTACTCTCTGATACCTGTATTATTCTCTGATACCTGTACTGCTCTCTGTTGGTTCTAATACTATCTGCTACCTGTGCTTGCTGTTTGCTACAATACTATCTCCAGGTTGTGTTGTTCTTTCCTGTATTTGTCTGTCTGTATATCTGTCCGACATCCTGTATATCTAATAGAGAGTGAGAGACAGAGTTTGTTACTTTTTTGCAGCTGACATATTAGAGATACTGTATATCTGCATGCACACATCTTATACCAGAATACATCCAGGGATCCATGTAACCAATAGGAATGATAGAAACACTACCCTGCACCTGAGAACACACTTTGTAAATCCCTGTTTAGCTGTTTATTATTTGTATCACTCTTTACAGTTAGAGAACATGTTTAGCTGTATGTTAGCAGAACTATATGATTATATTGTTACTGGGAATTTATATTATTTAAATATATTTTGTTTCCTCGTGTTCTTATTAAAATAACCAGTTAATGACAATATGTAGAATATGGATATATCATTAAAATAAAACATGACATTCAAGAAATCTCTTTCCCACTGAATATTTTGGTACATAGCAGCACCCAGATATTGTGGGGTCTCATATGGAATAAAGCCAGTGCTGGGCCACTATTTCTCCCCAATTTACTATAACTATTACATTTAGTAAGGCAACAAGATGTAACAAGTTTTATTCTTTTATTATATACTTTTAAATTCAAATATATTAACCCAACCTGGATTTTAATACACAGAAATAACTTTATCCTTTGGCAATATTTAGACTCTCCTGTTAGCAAACAAGTAAATATTAAGTTGAGATAAGATAAGTAGAGCTATTTTATTCATGCAAAGCTACAACAGGAGGACATCATAGGGGCAAAGTAACACTCCACCCATCAAGCTCAGTCATTGATTGGCATTGTCATAGCTGTGTTGTACAATGGGTGGTGGTCAGAGCTTGTGTGTTCGTGTGTTTCAATATGAATAATCTGATGGTTTAATGTGTAATTGTTAATGTTATCAATTTGTAATATCTATCTATCTATCTATCTATCTCACAAATGGATAACATTATTATTAATATTATTATAACATTTGTGAACAATTAAATATTAAACTAATAATATATTATTTATATTATATAATATGGATAATTATTTATTTATTTTTTTTGGTGAAAAATTAAAACGCAATAAATGTTACCAGAGATATTATTAAGACTGCATCACAATTCGCAGCATTATACCTACAGCTTATAAATGCTTATCTTTCTATGAAAGTCTTGAATTTAAACGCAAGTTGGTTCACACACAATAGTAAATGCACATTAATAGACTGGGATGTGCTATACGGCTGTATAACTACTTGAACTAATCTAAGCTTATTTGTTATGTTTGAATACTGTATATCATTAATAAGCATTTGTAATTATGAGTTTGTCATGCTCATACTAAACTAGTGTTTGATTGACACCCCAGATTTGTGTAAACTATTTTTTCCCTAAAACCCATGCTGACTCAGCATGATGGGAAACGCAGTTCCCTAAACTCTATAATGTGCCAACGTTGGCAATTATTGTCTTAAAAATGATGACCGGTTGCACTGAGGATTAGGGCTAGGGCTAAATTCTGCACGCGAAGCAAAGAGTAAACATTCGATTGTTTCCATGGTGATTGTTCCTGTTACAGAACGTTGCCCCAGATATTATTGTTAATAATATTAAATCATTGGAAAAATGCGCTCTTGCTATTTTTCAAATTATTAGAAAAACGAATTTCGCAAAACATAGATTACAACGACAACAAAGACAGGAGTCTGACACATCACCAATGAAATAGACGCTGTAGTGTCTGTGTGAGTGAATTTTGACTGAGCTGAAATTAGTTTCATTATGGAAATATTTGTAAAGTCAAGGGTCAAAAGAAATTCAAGGTCACTATTAAGTTTTTGAAAATGAAAAAAGTACTGAAAGCATAACGTAATGAAATAAAGCAACATTTTTAAACAAAGCATTCTGTGATGGGAAAAAAGAGTCACAAAGGGCTTTTAAAACACCCTCGTGTCCACACCAAACATTGTTAATGTAGGTTTTTATTTTGGAAGAGACTGAGGAATATTAGCTGGGAGGAGGGATGGAGTTTACAGCAATGACTCATACAATTAGAACAGTTTTGCAGAATTAAATGGAGACTTGGCCTCTGCCACCAAGCTGTATATCAGAGGGGCATCTAAAAATTGGCTGACCAAAACTAATATGCACACAGGTCCTCCTTTTTTCTTTCTAACTTTACTGACGAGACCAGTTAAAAATACTGTAAATTAAATATTTCGGGAATATTGATATATTTAACACACAAAAAGAATCGTGCACTACACAGGGAATTGTGGAACAATGGCAACTGGGTTTTACAATTTAGCACAGAATAACCTAGCTGTCGGAATAAATTAATTAAAGTAATATATCTACAAAATATATAATATTTTAATATGCAAATCTTGAAATGTTTAATTTACAAGATTTATTAAATATTTATTAATGCGCTGAAAAAAAAGAAATAGATGGATAGATAATTGGATAGCTAGCTAGCTAGCTAGATAGATAAATAGCTGTCCACGATTATGTATGTCCCTATACATATCTGCATGTTCAATAGTACAATAATTCATTCAGTATATATGTTTATTTTTTTCTTTTATTTTTCTCTACATATTTAAAGATATGTATAGATGTTAGATTTATATTCCCATAGGTATTATTTAGTAAGCTGATATATAGGAAAAATCCTCTCTCTCTTTATGTATGTAGTGTCTTTAGTATCATATACCTATCTTTTTTAATTAATACAGAGGTTAAAAGCCCCAGCATGTGTTCCCCTGCTCTAGGAATCTGTCCAGAAAGTAGTGTTTGAAATCAGAGCTGGGACAGGGGATACACCAAGGGCTCTGTGTTAGGAGACTACCAGCCTGGTGTAATTGATGAGATGTTGCAATCTGGTAACAAGTTGGAGAGAGCTGGGAGTCAGCCCCAGGAGTGACACGTGGGTCACAGGACCAGAAGCTATCTGACAGTGTATGTAACCAGCATGTTTCCAGGGATCTTCCTTATCAGAGACTGACCAGGTCAGTGGAAGTCGCAGGTTATTTATTGGGAACAGAGCAGGTTCGTTATAATGGTTATCTGTATTTTTTTTTTTTACAGCATCCCAGAGCCCAGTCACCAATCAGCTTCCCAGAACCTGCAGCTCTAATTATTCCAGCCTGATGGGGATTCTATGACCTGGCTGGCAGTGTATACATTGTATCTACTACACTGTGTCCTATGGAATCACTACTGCTTCACCTGCTGGCCAGGTAATATGGGGAAACTTAATTTATTTCTTTCTTTCTTTCTTTCTTTCTTTCTTTCTTTCTTTCTTTCTTTCTTTCTTTCTTTCTTTCTTTCTTTCTTTCTTTCTTTCCTTCCTTCCTTCCTTCCTCTGTAATGTTAGTTCAGTCTGTTTTATTATTATGTGCTTATATATGATTGTTTGTTCCTTCTTTCTTTCTTTCTTTCTTTCTTTCTTTCTTTCCTTCCTTCCTTCCTTCCTTCCTTCCTTCCTTCCTTCTTTCTTTCCTTCCTTCCTTCCTTCCTTCCTTCCTTCCTTCCTTCCTTCCTTCCTTCCCATAAAGCCATTTTAAATGCCATGTATTCATTTGGATTCTATATTTGGATTATTTTCGTTTCAGACTTAACCCCTTAGTGCCCGTGAGAGTAGCGCTCGCCCCATGAGCACGGGATAGGCGATGATGTGTTAAGTAAAAGCAGTGGGCACTATGTACTAAACATCGATATGCTGAACTGACAGAACCGATCACAACATTTCTGAGTTAAAAAAAAAAAATATATCATTTTTATTGGTAATGCTTAATCTGAATCAATGATAACATTTTCACAACTCGCTGCTTAGTGAATAGATCGCAGGATTTGAGAGATTAAATGCGGGACCTGAAGTAATTAATTGTGACAAAAGTAAATAAACAACTGAAAAATCGATTTAATAAACTAACTGCTTAATATGTATTAGGGTCCTGACTCTCTCTCTCTCCTATCTTCACAAACCCCCTTCCTCTCTCTCCCTCTATTTCTCTTTCTCTCTCTCTCTCTCTCGCTCGCTCTCTCTCTCTCTCTCTCTCTCTCTCTCTCTCTCTCTCTCTCTCTCTCTCTCTCTCTCTCTCTCTCTCTCTCTCTCTCTCTCTCTCTCTCTCTTCCTAGCTAGTTTAACCATTCCAATCCGGGAGTATGGTGAATGAATTACCTGCTCATCTTGCTCTGAAATAGTTAATGAAATGCCTGTTGACGTCAGTCTGTATTGAGATGGTTTCAGCACGCTGTGTGTTCAGTCTGTAGGAGACATTAAACAGTCCCCCTCTCTCTGTATGTAGAGGGTACAGGGTCCTGGATTAGTGTATATGGGGAGCCAGGCTCCCAGACTGTGCTCATATAGAAAGAAGCCAAGTGAATTCACCATAGAACTAAAAGAATGTCAGTTCCAAGAAAAGTACTCAGAAAATTGCTCGTTTCCTCTCCATCATGGAAGCTAATTCTGCTTGTCTTCTTTTGATTTAGAACAAGGATCTTTTAGCCAAATCCAAACGATTTCCACAGGAGCAGATTTTTTGTATTACGAACATTCTTCATGGATCTGTAATGTTAGTTCAGTCTGTTTTATTATGTGCTTATATATGTTCTATGTGTGTTTATATATCTGTCTGTCTGTCTGTCTGTCACTCATTCATACAGAGAGAATAGCTCTGTCTATCTGTCTGGATACATCATAATGAGCCTTTTATGAATGTATCCAGAATCCCCATGTGGCAATAATGTCCCATAAAACATATGTAGTTCTTATTACATGAATTATCATAATGAGGGTTAGGGATAGGGTTTTTAAAGGGGCACTCCATAGTCCATATATATATATATTAAATCAGTTTAGTAGATATACCCCAAATAAAAAAAAGTTACAATAAAACAATACAGCCTGCTTCAAGATCACAGACAACAAAACAACAATATTGCTGATATCACACACTACCTAAAAAGCACAACTACACACAGCATGTATTATCTTCTAGTTTATATGGTAAATCAATAATTATAAATTGTCAATATTATCCCCAAAAATTATTTCGGATAACACTTGTAATTCCACAATGAACTCCTAGCCAGGAGGGAATAACACTCTAATTTTTACTATTTTATCCTGTTTAGTTTTTGTATTAGAATATTTTAGGGGTGGAATATACTTGGACAGCCTTTGTGTACACCTGGTTGGTCATACTCTAGTGATGCAATGTTTAACCCTTTCACTATCAAGTGCAAAAACCACCCCAGAATCTTAGTATTACCAAATAATATAATTACATATAAGAAAACTGTGTTGTAAATAAATAACAGTTCTCAATTTGTTACAAACACATTTTCCCCCTGTAGTCTATAATCATAGAGAGGGTTCAGAGAAGGGCCACTAAACTGGTTCATGGATTGCGGGATAAAACTTACCAGGAAAGGTTAAAGGATCTTAACATGTATAGCTTGGAGGAAAGACGAGACAGGGGGGATATGATAGAAACATTTAAATATATAAAGGGAATCAACACAGTAAAGGAGGAGACTATATTTAAAAGAAGAAAAACTACCACAACAAGAGAACATAGTCTTAAATTAGAGGGACAAAGGTTTAAAAATAATATCAGGAAGTATTACTTTACTGAGAGGGTAGTGGATGCATGGAATAGCCTTCCAGCTGAAGTGGTAGAGGTTAACACAGTAAAGGAGTTTAAGCATGCGTGGGATAGGCATAAGGCTATCCTAACTATAAGATAAGGCTAGGGACTAATGAAAGTATTTAGAAAATTGGGCAGACTTGATGGGCCGAATGGTTCTTATCTGCCGTCACATTCTATGTTTCTATGTTTCTATATACATTGCGCATACAAAACTGAACAATGTAAGCCAAGGAAGTTGGACACACACTCACATAGACACTCACAATCACACACTAATACACACATACACTGATCAGCCACAACATTAAAACCACTTGCCTAATATTGTGGAGATTCCTCTCGTGCTGCCAAGTAGGTTTCATGTGTCGAGACATGAACTCCACAAGACCTCTGAACTTGTCTTGTAGTATCTGGCACCAAGACATTAGCAGCAGATCCTTTACGTCCTGCAAGTTGTGAGGTGGAACCTCCATGGATCGGATTTGTTGTTCCAGTACATCCCACAGATGCTTAATTGGATTGAGATCTGGGGAATTTAAAGGCCAAGGAAACACCTTGAACTCTTTGTCATGTTCCTCAAACCATTACCTGAAAAATGTTTGCAGTGTGGGAGCTCCTGACCCAGTCAGGGACTCTAGGCGACCGCCTTGGTTGCCTGAGTAATCCAGCTCTGATCTTCACCTCTGGCTGGGTGCAGATCGCTTTGAATGCCCCCTTTCAGTCTCTGACTGCGAGGAGACATCACATTCAATTTGCAGAAGTTAAAATCAAGTATGGCTGTCTACCCTGGCAACTATGTATACACGAATGGTGGCGTCAAGGGGTTAATCTGGAGAGCTGTAGAGCTGTTTACTTTTTGCAGCCAGTGACTGAGAAGGAGAAAATCTGGCCCATTATTTCCAACTTCCTTGGCCTACATTGTTCAGTTTTTCAGTTCACCACATTTTCCCAGTTTTCTGATGTCTCTAGGTCACCACAACTAACTGAATTAAGGGAAAACTACAGGTGCTCTCAAAACGCTGAATTATTTATAGTTTTAAGTTTAACTGGTTTTTTTTTCTTGCTCAATTTTATATAATTTCACTTAAAATAATAAATTATTCTGCTACATTTACCCACTTTGTCTACACCTTCATCTCATTTTTTAGTGTTTGATTATTGTCTGTAATAGTACAGCTAAAGGTGTCATATTAAGTTGCTGCATTCGCCCTACTCATAGTTTGCTATGGGATAGCCTACGCACCCACCATGCACGTGCTGCCATGACTTCAAGAAAAAACGTAATGCTACTAAGTAAAAACTAATCACAGACCTTATGCAAACAACATAATGGAATCCTCCAGGCACCATAATAACATAAGGGAAGAGGGATGCCGGCATCGTGATTCCCCGAGTATTGTGACGAGCTGGATTATAACTTTCATTGTGTGAGTGCAATTTAATAAATAAAAAATTTTATTATTATATTGGTGCACTATGGTCTGTGTGTCTCTCCCTTTTTAAAGGTGAAGCAGAAGACTCCTTTTGTCCGTCAAATCTCAGGATCGTTATATGCCCATATTGTCCTCTCATCTTGTGAGTGCAACCTTATCAGCGCACAATTTGGTGTTTTAATTTATTGCACTATATACTTTCTTGTTTATTCTTTTTTGTAGATTGTATCTTTTATATTTGTATTAAGAAGATCAGAGGGGTCTTCTTACAATCATACATTTGGTAAAAAGTTTGATTTATTTTACTTTTACCTTTGGGGAGCACGTGTGTTATATTTTGACATATATTTTCTACCATAATAACATTATCTGAATGAAGTGGCTATGGTGCCTGGAGTCCCCAGTAACAGTCTTACCTTTAAGTGTTTAACCTTCTCTTCTGCTTTGGACTAATGCGGAAGATAGTCAACCATTGCGAGTAAAAATGTGCAGTTTTCTATCCTTTACTCATGATAAACAGCCAGTGGTTGGTTGATATTGTCAGTAGACACTATTAGTCCATTACTGCCACCTCTTCCCTGCTCACGTTAATGCTTTCCCATTAACCTGGAGACCGGCTTTTGAGGACACAACTTTAGTTATGAGCAATGAAAAACTGGTTTAACTCTTAAAAGAAAACTCCGAGCCCCATAACAACTTAATTGGAATCAAGTTGTTATGGCACCAGTAGGTTACTGGTACCAGTTTAACTTTAGGGGTTAAACTGTTAACGAACAGTTTAACCACAAAGTCTTAAATCCAGCAGTGGTCAGCTCTGCCTGCTATCTTCCGTTGCAGTCCAAGGTTTCAAACAGGGAGCTCCCCATTTTTTTTCACTCTATTTTGTGAATGGGGTGCTACTAATAGGTTAAAACTTTCAGCCTATCAGCAACACCCCTGTCCAAGGCTTCCTAACGATTTAACCACCAAAGGTAAGCTGGCGCCAGGGACATCTTCGCACTGTAACAACTTAATTCCAATGAAGTGGTTATCATGCTTGTAGTGTCCCTTTAAAGTTAAGCCTACATTCTGGAACTCCAGGCTCTGTAACAACCTAACCGAGATCAAGTTATGGTGCCCAGAGGATTCTTTTAAAATAGGCTTTTCTTTGAATGAAACCAGCAGGCAAGTGTCACCTTAAAACTATTTAAGAAAATATAATAATCATTTCATTAGGTTTTGAAAGGGAATAGATTTTTTATTAAATCTAGAAAAGATCCTTCCACCATATACATGGACCTTGGGTCAGACAGTGTTTGAAAATGGACAGTTAGTCTCTATGGTCTTCCCTGATTCTGTACAGGGAGTGAAGCAGTAAAGGTCATAAAGACTAACTAGAGACTAACAGGAACATTACCCCCTGTGGCATAATAGCTTGCTATCTAGCCTCCTGCCCAAGGACTATGGGCCATATACAAAGACCTGTTCGGGAGTTACACCTCCCCAGTCACCATTAGTAGCTTGCCCTGGGTGCCCCTGGTTCGACACTTTGCCTTCATGCGAATGGAACCAAAAGCTGGCTTTCTGGTGGCCGTTTGCATGAACCAAACCCACGAATTGTCCTCAGTGGTACTTAGCCACAATCGTTATGGAACTAAATTCGTCATGAGGACTTCATGGGTTCCTGATCACCTTAGCGGGACTTAGCCGCGAATGCTATGGAACTGTTTTTGGCATGAGGTAACTGTGCGGTTTCTGGACAACTTGGTTCGCCGTTTTGAATCACTTTGAAATCCGCCAGGAGAGCGCTTTTTGGAGGGAAGGTGCCTGAGACTAAGGGGAACAAACAAATAGCCAGCCAGAGCACCCCGTATTGCGGCCACAGGAGCTCCAGAAAATTGACTCGCCAAAGCACCAAACACCCTGGAACTGTTTTGGGCATAGGACCACATGTGCGGCCGCTCAGAAATTTAACACGTGGTGTTTCTCCTACACTGCATGGATCTAAGTTCTATTTCGAAAACTTGGGCGCTAAGATCAGGGCTATTTGAGGATGTATTATTTGTAGGGTTATGATATATTTGTATGATGTTTTTGGATATTTTTATGTTTTATATTTTTATGTTTGCCTCTCTGTTCCTGGGAGATAATTAGCTTACCGGTCTTTAACACAGGCACAGAGATTTACAGGAGGGGCTTGCATTGTATTGTGTGGAGACCCCCTGCTGGGGGTTCTGTATATAAGCAGGCAACTTGGCCATAATAAAACAGTTCCTTTACACCCTTCACTCAGTCTGGGCTAGTGTTTGGGTGGATCAGCTATACTCTTTGCAGAAGAGCTTAATCACTAGAAGCTGTACCCAGGACCCTGCTCCAGGGTGGAAGGTGACAGAGAGCCCCAGCCAAGCCTCGGCGGCTAGGGGCTGAAACACTTCTGTGTCCCAGAGGAGAGCTAGGAAGTGAGCTTGATGGAGGTACGCAGACCTTTAACCGCAGGAATTTAAATAGCTCAACACAACAAATGCTTCAAGTGGTTTCCCCAAACACAACTGAAAAAGCACCTTATATTAACTTCTCCAGTCTCAAAATTATTCAACCCCCTGAATAGACACCCTCCCAACAGCACAAATATCAAAAACAGATGTCTCAAGCACACCTGATGCAACTAACCAAGGGCTTCATTAGTTGCACCAAGTGTGCTTTGTTGGAACACTTGAAATACCCGAACTAGCTAGGGGTTTGTTGAGCGTCACGTCTGACTGCATGCTAGAAATATGGCTTATTTAAAAGAATGGTCCGCAAAGTTAAGAGAAGTGATCATTGCCATTCACAAACAAGGAACAGAATACAAAAAGATAGTGAAGACAATTAATGTCTTAGAGACATCGTTGGAAGCATAGTTCGCAAAAGAACAGTGGTTACACTACCTGGACGGGTCAGAAAAATTACATTTGAATGAAGTGGCTGCAACCAGATTTCTGAGGTTGTGAGATTTCCAGTTATGGAAAAACAATTAAACAAAACTGGAACTTTTCAGCCCAATGGATCAGCGGTATATCTGGAGGAAGAAGAATGAAGCCTATGCTGAAAAGAACATTCTGTCAACAGTTAAGCATGGTGGTGGCTCGGTGATGCTCTGGAGTTGCTTTGCATCCTCTGGCACTGGAAGGCCAGATGGATTCATTGAAGTATCAGAAAAACCTAGGAGAAAATATCATGCCATTTGTGAGGAAGCTGAAGCTTGGGATCATAGAACTTTCCAACAAGACAATGATCTCAAGCATACTTTAAATTTCACCAAGGCTTGGTTGCAGAAGAAGTCCTGCAAAATTCTACAGTGGCCAACACAACCACCTGACGTGGACCACATAGAAAATATCTGGTGGGTTTTGAAGAAGGCGGTTGCAGCATGCGAACCCAAGAACATTAGTGAACTCAAGGCCATTGCAAGAAGCTGGTGCCTGGCAATGCATCTTGTTTACAGGAGATCATAACAGCAAAAAGGTGGTCTACTAAGTACTAAAGATACTTGCCATGAAGGGGTTGAATAATTTTTAAACTGGATAAGTTGCTCTTTTATTTGAATTTGGGGAAACAGAAGCATTTGTTGTGTTGAGCTATTTAAATTGCTTTAGTTTGATTTATTCATTGCATAGAGCAACAATAAACCTGATTTTCAATGGGGGTTGAATAATTTTGATTACAACTGTATATAATTAATATAACATGAATTTCAATTCACGTTTTGTATGTATGCCACGCATTATCTATACAAATTATTAATAAATGTGAACCAAATTTCACCCTGCATGTTCTTTTAACTCCCTGCTTCCTTTCTTCTCGTTGTTACAATGCTTGTTTTTAATAGAAATGTATCCTATGAACACACTTTGCAATGTGCTAGAAATGTGTTTAAGAAACAACGGGATAGCTTATAAAACGCAGACTCCAGATTACATTAACATGGAATTAAAGCAATGTCTGACAGCAAAACCATTGAGAAAACACGCTATGCGTACTCATTGTGACATTATTAAGAAATGATCATAAAAACTTTCTTTCACATTTCTTTATTTTAAAATGGATTATTTATTGTAGTTTACATATACATTTATTTTTCTATGCTTGGGGGTCCACTACCCTTTCCTTAGATAAACACGTTTAATAGATGGTGATGAGAGCGTGTCAGCATGATAGCTAAGCCAAGGATGTGTAGCGCAGTCATAAAGAGGGGAAAAGTGCTCTTTTGTATGATGTTAATATTTGACAGAAACAGCAGGACCATCGCTTTGGTATA